GTGCTTGCTCAATAACCGGCTTTATATATATATTTAATTATAGTCAATATAGTCAGTTTGGCCAACGTTAATTGAATGGGAATATTTTATATCCACTCGAAAAACATTTTAAGCAAATTGTCTCAGTTTCAATATTTCAGCCATCAAAGTCAACTTCATCCAAAATTGATCTATGTCAGGAGATAGGAAATTTCAAAAAATCTAATATCTATCAGCATCAAGATCCAGTCAAACTGATTTTGAACTACGTTTTCAGAAAGTATTAGTTTGGAAAGCTCAACTTGCTTGCAAGTTCTGTCTCTAATGGTACTTTTGACAGATGATTTCAGGCATTTTTTCTCAGCAAACGCGGTAAGTTATTCAGTACAATCTAATCTTGAAAAAAATTTAAGTACCAGCCTACGTTTTGTATCAATGCATCACTTTCCCATCGTCTTTAATTTCTTAGGGTTCTTGAAATTTTTTCCGATCATTGATTAAAAGTGGAGGTACTTTGAATTCTGTTGTGATTTAATTTTGTTATCTTTTTTGTTTTTTTTTGTTTTTTTTTTGTTTTTTTTGTTCCTCAAACAAAATCAGGAACCATAAATAATCATCAAAATTGATCGGTCATTATCTCATACTACAACCCTTTCACTCATGATTCGAACGGCTATAAAATGTTTTTTTTTCTCCGGTTTTTTCTCCGGTAAGAAAAACTGGTTTTAAATTTTAGATTTTTGGTATAATTTTGAGCTAATAATACGAGCGTGCAGGCTTAAACTAGCTTTTTAAGCTTATACTAAGCCGTGATATTTTAGTTTTCTCAATTGAAAGTAGTTTTTTGATGTTTTTTTTACCAGTATGGGAATCAAATACTTCAAAAATCTGAAAAAATATTCTGCAAAAAATTTAGAAAAAATTTTTTAAATTGTTTAAGTTCTTCTAAAACTTTTTAAAATTTTTTTCCGGTCGTTTTCTAAAAAAAAATTCTTATTCGTCAAGTTGACTATAACTGTCACATTTGCCAATTTTTTGTTTTGCTGTTCAGATTTTTTCATCACACCACACAGAAAAAAAAACGAATTAAAATTAGGAAAAAAAAATGTTTTTCCTTGAGACTATGGTTGAACATTCTGTGGTGCTTGCTCAATAACCGGCTATGTATATAATCATAAACCGTTTTTTGCGTATATAATTGCTTATTATCAATCTACTCATTTTTTGCTAATTTGATTTATATATGAACATATTATATCTACTCGAAATACAATTTCACTAAATTGTCTCATTTTCCATGTTTCAGCCATAACTTGAGTCAACTTGATCCAAAATTGATCTATGTCATTAGATCAAAATTTTAAAACAAAAAATCAAAACTGTAACAGCAACATTTGATTTTGAACCGCGTTTTCAGAAAAAAATCACCTTATTAAGTTTAACTTGCTTGCGAGTTTTGTCTCTCAAGGTACTTTTGACATAGAATTTTAGGCATTTTTTCTCAGCAAAAGCGGTCAATTAATTAGTAAAATCTTATCTTGAAACAAAACTGTAATTAACAGCCTTTTTTTTTCTTTCAATGAATTGTTGTTAAAATTAATCAAAGGAAAAACCTTTCACATTGATTGAAAGTTTTCAACATTTAATTTTTAAAAAAATCTAATCCTTATGTATCAGAAAATATTATTTTTTTCTTCGTAGCATATCTTCAAAAAATTTAATTTTCTTATGACTTCTTCAGCAAATTTTTTTTAAATTTTTCATTATTTTTTTCATTAAAAAAATCACGTTATTTTCTTGCTAAATTCTGGTTCCCACTTTCGAAGTCGAAGAATTTGAAGAATCTATATGCTCGGGATGGTGTTCTTATATTCAGGCCAGTTTTTTTTAAATTTTTTTTTTTAAAATGGATATTGTATGAATTGATTTGGTAGTCGTTTGAGGAATGCGAGTTATGATTATGCGTGGCGACTTATCAATATAAGGATCAATAGTAAATGAAGTGAAGCAAACTAGTTTTTTGTTTCGACTCAATTTCTAGCACATTTTGTTTGATAATTTAGTCCAAATGTTGTTGTACTACACAACTTACATATATATTGTTATCATTTTTTTATTTGTCTTTATATACATAAATATATACATAAATAGATTTATTCATTTGAAATTAAACTAAGAATCAAAAACTTTGAAAACTTTTTTCTCACAATTGACAAAATTTTAAAAATTTTTCATGTCAGGTGAATTAGGCGTGAAGCGGTTTCAGAGAAACATATTATCAATCCATTCCATTGATTTTTTAACTCCCTTGATTAAGCTTTAAAAAAAATCAAAGCACAAAAAAATTTCTAACATTTTCAGTGATCGGAACAAAAAATTATAACTGCGAAATGGTTTTGACAAAGGGCTGTTGAATAAAAGTTTTAAAAATATATTTATGTACCTGTCTTATATCGATATAAATAATATATATGTGTGTGTGTGTGTGTATAAACATATATAAATATATGTGCGTGTGCTTATAGAAATGAAACTTATTTAAATTATTTATACATAAATGTTTTTTTTTTAATTTTTATTCAACAACTGTCGCAGTTAAAATTTTTTGTTCCGACCACTGAAATTGGTAGAAATTTTTTGTGTTTTAATTTTTTCGTACGCTTAATCAAGGGAGTGAAAAAATCATTGGAATGGGTTGATGATATGCTTCTCTGAAACCTCTTCACGCCTAATTCACCTGACATGAAAAAATTTAAAAATTTTGTCAATTGTGAGAAAAAAAAGTTTTCGCAGTTTTTAATTGTTAGTTTAATTTCGAATGAATAAATCGAGCAAGCAGATATTTAATGAGCCCACACTAGTGTAATTCTTATAATTGAAGTTAAGCCCTCCTTTTTTTGGGTTTTTCGAGGCAAACTAATGTCGATTATACTTTGTTTTCATGAAGTATTCTTTATGGCAATCAGAATTTTCTGTGCTATTTACACAGCAAATGGTTTTCCTTGTTTCAATTTATAACTCTAAAAACATGAGCTAAGAGTGTCGAAAAACTTAACGAGAAGGTGAAAAATAGTTTTCGTCAGTTATCTGGCAAGCTCAATGTTTTCATTGCAACTTTTATGTACAAGAAGCCCCTGTTTAGCTTTATTTCTCCCTTCGGCGCTTGGAAACCTGATTTGTGTCAATCTAATAACACTACTGTCAAAATGGTGTCATAACAACTGACAATAAATAAAATGATTGAAGTCCGGTATATGTGAGTCTCTTTCAACCACCTTCTAGATAACTTAAGCATGATTGGTTTTACAAACAACTGGATAAACCCTTAATTCTATTCTTCAAAGCTTTTATTTAACTTTCAAGGCTCTGAGTTTGTTTTCTGTTGCGAAAACTAAAAAACTGCAATCAATAGCACCTTATTATAATAGCCCGCTTGGAAAATAACTACGAAAACTCTTCGGGCATGTTGTGCATTCTCGTGTAAATACGCTATGGCGTGGGTTGTAATCAGAAGCCACGACAATTTCGTAAAATCCAGATATTTTGGTAGTTAACTTGAAATTAACAGGGTTCTTTCATTTTATGAGTCCTAAAGGAGTAATATAAGTCTGCATGAAATATAAGTCTCGCTCTTAGTATGTTAACGGCTTTTTCTAACTTCAAAAAGGCGAAAAAAAACTTGAAGAAATCAAGTCTTTTGGGGGGTGGTGTCGAATTTCTAATGGAGGACACCCCCGTTCCTAAATCCGCCCCTGGTTGGTAAGTTAACGACCGTTTGCGACATCAAAAAGATGGAAGGTGAAAAGAGCAGTCTTCACTCCCAGGTGTGCAGCCAAATAACGTTTGATTTCTCCTCTTACCAATACATCAATTATTCACGAAGGCTCTGAATTGGTCGGTATTGGCCTCGCTGCCTCGGTGTGTGAATGGTATAACAACAAAACTGATAATAGAAGCGCCATTGTATCTTCTTTTGTTGTTGTGTTTGGTTTGCTTGAACTATAGATTATTTTTTGATCATGGAAACTATCATTGTGTATTTTTCTCATCAAAAACGTTCGTCTAAAAATGATTTTTTTTTCAATTCTCAAGCAACTGTATTCGTGTGATACTTACTCAAATTGAGTGCAATTGTTCTTCTAATACTACTTTAATCAGGGGCGGATTTAGGGGGGGGGGGGCAGACGCCCCCCCCCCCCCCCCTCAGGGATTCGACCCCCTGCCGACCCAAAGGGTCCCCCTTTGTACTATTTTGAGATATCCATATTCGGTGACGGACTCTAATAATTTTCTAAAGGCGCCTTTCGCGCCAATATATACTTAGTTTGAGGGGGAGCGCGCGCCAAAAAACGCAATTTTTTTGGTCAAAATTTTCTAAAAAGTGCCTATAAACGCCTTTTTTGGCCTGTTTTTCAAAATTTTGCCTGCGGCGCAGAAAGTTTTACCAAAACAGGGTCTTTTTAGTGCTTTGGGAGAGCTCGGAAAATCAATTCGATCAATCTAAAAAAAAAAGGTCGACAAAATTTTTGAAAATCCGCCCCCCCCCCCCCTCTCGAGAAAATCCTAGATCCGCCCCTGACTTTAATGTATTGATGCTCTGAAAATCTCTTTGAAAATTGATACATGAAAAATGTGTCGGAAATGTTTGTAAATTGATCGGATTTACGTTTATTTTTACAAGAAGAACTGATTTTGTTTTTCAAGTACTCAATGAGCATGATTGGCAATTTTTTCCATGTTTAGGAACATGTTTAGGAATTGATCCATAATTTTTGTTATGTGTATCTTGAAAACCTCTTGAAATTGTTACACTTTGCGAGTGTCTATAGAAATTATTATGACCTCAGTATCAGTTATTTTCGTACTTTGGCAGTGCGCTTCAAGAAAAAAAGCCAGTAAATAAAGCTAATTTTTATTCAAATCTTGGTATTTTTGGCATTTTTAGTGAGTTTGTCGAGTTCATTTGTCATTAATGTGGCATAAATATTCAAATCGCATTTTAATTCGAGCCGGATGGCTAATCACGCCAACTGGGAAACCTTTCAAGTTCCGTTAGTTCAAAAGCAGTGACATTGGTAGAGCAAAATGAATAAAATTGGGTTGGAGTGAACGGCTCCAAGTGCCAATTCCCTATTGGTGCCTTAATGCCCACAAAATAATTATCAGGTATCCCACAAGAAAACTGTTTGACACAAGGCAGGATTTGAAGCGGTTTATCAAAAGAGTACATTTGCTCTTTTTTGTAACCAATGAAAAATTGTAAATAATTGTGCCGAAAATACCACTAGAATTTTATCTTATTTCCTGTTTTTGTTAAAATTTTGAGGCTAAACCTTAAAATTAACAGTTCATTTTGCAAATTTTTCAAATTATTCAAAGTTTCCTGCTTTCTAAAGCAAATTAATCGACAAATTGGAATCCTAGGTTCAAGGAGGGACGATCAAGGAACTGTTTTAATCTCATTTTTGATTGCAAATGATACGTTTTGTGGCTGATTATCTTGGGTTAACAATCAAGTATTATTTTTTTTAAATTACTTTTCCTCCATTTCATTTTCTGATTTTCCCATTTCAATCAAATCGAATTGTAATTATCACCACATAAAAAAATACAAACATTTCGACCGCTCTTCGATTGCTGGCAGTACCCTGCAATCCGTATCTCATACAAAGTTTGACACGGTTAAATTGATACCATGTGCTGAGAACTATTTATTCAACTGTTAAACCAGCCTAAATTTTACCCTATCTATCGAAACCCGTTGAGTTAACATTCAAGTTCAACCCACTTATAAACAAAAGCAGGTGTGGGATTTAAACAAGCCCTCCTCTTTTGTAGGGAATTGAGCTAATCTGTTGGAATCACTTGCAAACCAGTTATTAACTGTATATTAAAGACAACCGATAGACGGAAATTGTTTAAACGACATGCATTCAGTTTCTTCCTTGTGCTTCTTCGGACTAATGAGCATTTCGGTGTTGTGGGATCCCGCTACTTCGATGCAGTCGGGAAGCAGAACCGAGCGAGAGGTTGATACTTCTGACGACATCAGTAATCAGATCGATGACGACAATTTCTTTGACAGCAATGAGTAAGCTCCATGTTTTGTATTTGTAAAATTAGAAAGTTTCCACTTTTCTCGACAATCGGAAGTCATTTGAATTCAATATTTGTTCGAAGACACTAGAAGAAAAGCAATAAACAAAGAGATAAAAGAAGCCATTTTTAGATTATTTCAGATCAAATTGCTTAATTTTGCTCGGGCAACTGTGGTAATTTCTTATTAATTGTTCCAACTTTCGAAGAAAATGGAATATGTATGCTTGGTGTGTTTTTTTTATTATTCAGTCAATTTTCGGCGATCGAAATAATATTTTAAACAAAAACTTTTAATGCCTTATTGAAGATATCGACTCGCTAAAATCAAATTAAAACAAAACTTCTCGTATCAGGGCGAAGACCTGAATGTTTCGACTGCCTTTTAAGGTCTATGGAGCAGTAATAACATGAAAATTTATATATGTAAAAAAAATAAATTAAAAATTTTTAATTTAAATTTGGGATTTTTTGTAAAAACATCTCCCCACACGCCATATTAAGTGGAAAGTGATAAATTTTGCTCCTATTAACTAATCAATTATGGCATATAAGCTTCTGTAAACCAATTTGGAACAATTTCTAAGACGGATTAAATCTCCGCTTACGCGTTAATTTCGCGAAATATATCGCGCGTTAATTGTCCCAAATTGGCTAAAATGGCCACAATGGCAATCTTTAAACTCCCATAACTTTTTGAAAAATGATTACAGGTGAAATATTTTTTGAAATTTAAGCTAAATTAGGCAATTTTATCGAATATATCCGATCATTTTTTGCAAAATTTTAAAAGTTTGAAAATTGCCAATTTGGCCATGATTTGGACTAATTTATGCGCACAATTCTTGGTTTTATCCATAATCCTGGAAGCGTAAGCAAAATACTTATGCGTGGCGAATAATATTCTACAAGGAAATGGTTCCAAATTGAATTGAGGCTAGCTAATCGGTCGTATTAGTTTCGTAGGACTTAAATTTTCAAAGTTGATCTTTGATATTCTGCAAAATGTAGTTTTTCCAAATTTTACTTTCCCAAGAAAGGTTCGATATGGAATAAGGGGCAGTCGGAACATTCAGGGCTTTGCCCTGATATACGAGCAGTCTTGTTGTTTTTGTTCCGACTTTCGAAGAAATTGGAATAATTATGCTTGGTTTGATTTTTTTATTCAGTCAATTTTCGGTACTCGAAATAATAGCTTTTAACAAAAAAAATTATGCCCATTGAAGATATCAATTCTCTAAAATCAAATTTAAAAAGATAACAAGACTGCTCGTATCAGGGCAAAGCCCTGAATGTTCTGACTGCCTTTTAAAGTTTATGGAGCAGAAATAACATAGAAAAATTAAATGTAATAAAAAAAACTCCCCTAAAATTTGAGATTTTTTTTTGTGAAAATCATCCCCCCACACGCCATTTTTTGTGAAAATCATCCCCCACACGCCATGTTTTGTAAAATTATCACCCCACACGCTCTATAAACGTTTAGAGCAAAACTCTGATTGTTCCGATTGCCTTTTATGGTTCATGGATCAGTAATAACCTTTAAAAAAACTAAATTTAAGTTTAAAAAAATGATTTTTTTTTCTGAATTTGGAGATTTTTGAGGAAATCATCCCCCCACACGTCATATAAAGTACAAAAGGATAGATTTCGCTCCTTGTAACAAATAATTTGTTTCAAATAAGCTTCTTTCGACCAATTTGGAACGATTTCTAAGACGGATTAAATCTCCGCTTACGCGTTAATAGGGCGAAATATATCGCGCGTTAATTGGCCAAATTGGCCAAAATGGTACGAAAAATGATCACAGGTAAAATATTTTTTCAAATTTAAGCTTTTCGAATGATATAAAAAAAGTCCGTCAAAATTGGCTAGTTAAAAAGTCGAAATTTGTCTGAAGAAAAAACCCACCCCGAGCACAAATATTCGGTTACTTTCGTATCGAAAGTCGGAACAATAATTTTACCTCCGATAATTTTGTGCAATGTTTTGGGAGTTTGAAAATTGCCAATTTGGCCATGCTTTGGACTAATTTATGCGCTCTTTGTAGATTTTATCCATAATCCTGAAAGCGTAACGCGGTTTATTTATGCGTGGTCAACTATCTCGCGCAACAAAACCTTTCTAAATTGAATTGAGGCTAGCTAATCGGTTTTATTAATTTTAACAGTTGATCTAAAATTTATAGTGTTTCATACTTTTAATTCACCAAAAACTATGCGATATAGATTGAGGGGTAATCGGAACAGTCAGGGCTTAGCCTTGATATACGAGCAGTCTTGTTTTTTTCTCGTTATCTTTTAATTCAATCCTTATTTTTAATTTCTTTTTTTAAAACTATTATTGAAAACATGTCACAAAATTTTGCAATTCCTGTTTTCATTATTGAGGAGGGTATAACCAAAAAAATAACAAGAATTGAAAGGATTCTGGATTCAATAAATGGTTTCATGTTGCTGCGAAGATCTTTGTTGTTCAGCGGTGATTCGCTTCCAAAAAAGCAATGAAAAAAGTTCGCATGGGTAGAATTACGGTTTTGGGGTGTGATTTCAGATATTTACGTTTTTAAATGTTTAATTTGTTCATTCTTATCTGTTATCAGTTCGCATTAACTTTGAAATACAGTTTTCAATTTCACATTCCAAGTTCAGCTCTCATTTCATCCTCCGATGAAGAAAAAGGAAATGGCGCAAAAATTGCGTGCATCTACCATTTTCAGAAGTCGTTTTAGTTTTTCTAAATCACTAGCGGCAAAAGTTTACTTCCGCTAATTAAAGGACAAAAACACAATACCATTTCATCTAATAACTCAGAGATTTGAAACCGTTTTCACTCAGAAATAGCTTTTTTTACACAAAGTCGGAAATAACTTCCATTTTTTGCAGACTATAAACAAAACGTTTTCTATCACACGGCTAATATTCGATTGTGTGGATTGATGCTCAAACTATCTCCTGAAATTGAATATGTCGTTTTGTATAGGGGAGTTTGTATAATCTTTAAGCCCTCGCAGTCCTGTTCATATTCCAAACGAGGATAGCCGGGCGCTGTGCAAGTAGCCCACATTTTTCCGATCTCAAAAAATTGAAAAGTACAAAAAAGTTTTTTCTTCTTTTTTCTATTCAAATTAGCGTCACTTTAGTGCGTCTTGAGTAAAAACACGTGAAACAAAACACTAGTAGATTAGACAAAACTGACAAAAGTTGTCTTCGAAAAATGAACAAAAAATGGGAAAAAAATCGGAAAAGTTCTTCTAAAAATGTTCTGATTTTTTTTAGCTGAATGGTTCATATGTTTATGCAAGTTTTGGGAACAAATAAATGGCCGGATCAGTTATCCTAGGTTTTAAGTGTCCTTTAACCGTGTTTTTGTCGTATAGGTTTATACATCCTTTTAAGTGTTTCGAGTTAAGATCTTTTAAACAATCGCTTTTTTCATGGTATCGTCTAAAGAATTTTCACAAAAATGCAATAAATGCACTAGAGCGTTGTGTTTAAAGTTCGAATTTTTTTGCATTTTGTTTTGTCGAAAATTTGATTAAACTAATCTACTTATTAATTACCCCCTTTGTGCTGAAAGGGTTATTTCAGGGGCGAATTTAGGTGGGGCGGTAGGTCGTATGTCCCCTCCACGAGTTTTAAAGGGGGGGGGGGGGGGTGCGCGCCGCAAGAAACGCAATTTTTGCTTAAAATAATCGACGTTATTTTTGATGTTATGAAAAATTGAAATGTACAAAAAAATTGAATAATGAAATTTCAATTTTATCGCTCTCTCAATCAATTATGAGGTACTTAGAATTGAGATATTGTTTCTTGTTAACCAAAAAAACACAAAAAAAATCTACAAATTCAAGGAATATACTGCATGCAATACCCTTAACTTGAAATTAAAACTTGATAAAGATCCCATTCATCAAAAAGAATTTTAGTTTTTATACTTTTCAGTTAATTTTTAAGTCAGAAAAAAACCTGATGTAAAATTGCGGTAATGGAACATCATTTGAGGTGAAAAAATATCATAGAGAAAACAACTGTCTAAGTTGTTTACATATCTAAACCAAAATTTATTATATCTTTCATCGGTACAGACATAATACTTAATTAGCGCCAGAGTTTGTATAAGACATCTGAAAAATTTTTCGAGAAAGGTTGACGTTGTTTCATCTTTACACTTTCATCTCAGTTGACACAGATTTCAAAACGATTTGAACATTTTTGATCCCGTGACAATCCCATGAGGTTTTTGATTCTCTAGCCAAACTTATATAGCATTGAATTTAAAATTTCTTTATTTGATGACTAACTTGAAACTTTATGCAAAATTAATGTTAAGCAAACTTTATGAAGCTGATTATTGATACTTTTCAGTTACATGTGTTCAATGTGTCTGGTCATACGGCTCCATACAGTTTGTCTGTGAAAAAATACTTGTCATACCCATACTATTTGAAACTAATACAAACATTACGAGGCCAAACTTTGCACTGAATAGGCGCACATCTTTGTGTCTGTATGTTCCTGGATTCCAGAGACAAGTCTTTAAATATGTTTTAAAATGTAAGTGGATTCCAATTACAAAACTTCAGTGGATTCCGCGTACAAATACCTCTAACATATTGATTTTGTTGCTTTTGTCGGCATATTGATTTTGTTGCGGATTCCGCAACGAGCGAATATAGGTAAATTTTCCGGATTTCGCAAATGTAAGTAGATTCTGCATATTTATGCGGATTCAGCTTACAATTTGCGGATTCCGCTTACAATTTGCAGATTCCAATTACAGTTGCGGGTTCCGCGACAGCTTAAGTTTACTAAATACATATACTATTATTTGCTCATGGATTCCACAAACTAATTCTGGATTCCACATAATTCTTTGCGGATTCCGCAAAGCTGCCCGTTCTTGGAGCATTTTGAGCAATACGGTGTTTTAGCTATTTGTGCGAGGAATCCAAAACAGCAGAAAAGATCAAAGAAAAAAGCAAAGTTGCGGATT